ATTTTAGCAAATATTTAATCTTCAGAGAAGCTAAAGCTGTTTAAGACCAAGAACATAGTCTCATATCGAGAGTGATCATAGAGAGCTTAAGAGTAAATAGTTAGCAGAGCCACACGTTTAGCTTCTAAGTTTTATTACTTACCGTATCCCATATCTGAAGTTTTATCTGTTTTCCATCAATAGTTATCATTCGAGCCCCAAATTCTACACCTGAACAGATTTTACAAAAGATTATATTATTAGTATATATTAGAAAGAAAAGCGTCCACCACTACCAAAGCAAGTACATAAGTTAAAGTTAACTCAACATTGTGAAGGAGAAAATTTCCTAAAGGATATAATCTGCTTTTGTTAATTTTCCAGTTGCTTCAGAGAATTGCAAGGTTTTCCAGAAGGAAAAAAATCTTAACTTTTCAACTGTTTTAAAAATACATTAACTAAAGTGTAAGGGAGGTGTTTCCCATATTGTTTTCCAAAAGATCTAGGAGCTCCAGCTCGAAGGGAGGAAAAAACATATCTATTTGGGCACAAACAGGAAACTGAGTAGAGTCACACTCATTTTAACACTCTACTAACACTAGACTGCTGAAGGCAGTTTAGAAGATTTAAACCTAGACTTTTTATTCAACAAAATATTCTATTATATTAAAGTGAGCGTAAAAACACCACCTTCAACAAGATAAATTCTTTCAAATTATTAACTACCCATCTGCTTTTACCAAAAAAAGCTTTCCAAATTTCAGTTAGTCAAAGATCAAATGTAATAACTCAGAACAAATTTGTTTCCAATAAGCAAAATGATTTTTTTAAGTGGAAAAATTCAGCCTTTTGTACTCATCTTTTAATGCAGCTTTAAGATCATTAACAGTAATTAAGCATAAATCTCACGCTATTACTACAGCAAGTTAAAATCTGACAAACGCCTAGAGATAGCAGACCTATTTACAAATAAGTTTCATTTTATAAACAAAAGTCTACTCCAATTCCCAAATGAAAACTAAATTGAGGTAGCTGATGCACTACTAGTTCTTAAGTTAGAGTATGATTCTACAGTCATGCACAATTCTGTGTGTAGCTCCAAGGCAGATAAAGTCTGCTTTTATGTATTGTATTTTTTAATCTTAGCATCATTAAAGTTTCTCTCTGAATTTTCTAAATTTTAGAGCTGACATTTTAGGCTAGCTATACTAAAATTGGGCTGAATTTTGCAAAAGTCTAGATGATATGATTTTTTTTCCCAAATATCCAGTTTTGGTTTCCCTTCTCTTTTCCCAAGTTGCTTACAGCAGGGATAGAAGGTGCGTTCCCACGTGTTAAAATGGTTGCACTATAGTGGTAAAAGTTAGGTTGTGTAACGCAAGCTTTTCTTAATCTGCACGTTCTCAGCAGTTAGAACACCATCAACTGGAACTGTGCCAGAAAAACATCAACCCATCCTATCTTGCCCTGCATGGGCATTCACATGAGTTTGAATCCATGTTCCTTAGGTACCTCTGCCCTTTTAAGTCAGTTGGGCTAATTGAAAGAAGCACTCTCCTAGCCAGAATCACACGTATGAACTATCAGTTAAGCAACAGCAGGCTGCTTCTAGCCTATGTTCATTCTTCCCTTTTCAAGCAGCTTGCCAGGCTCCATTCCTACATCCCTTGTTGCTGTCTAGGTTCACCTCCGCATGCCACTAGCTCCAACATCTGCTCTAAGGCCTTAGCTAGCTATTTGCCAGGCACAAAACTGGCACTAGGGCAATCCAGCTGAGGTGAAGCCACTTCCCACAGACTAGCAAGTTGCTGAGAAGCAGGAATATGCGACAGGGCTGCCAAAGGCACGAATGATATACAAGGCATGATACATCAGCCAGTACGGAAAGAAGGCAGTAAGTCATGCCTCCATCGAGAACTCAGGCTCTTTCTTCAACCAACCTATCAGTTGCAAAAACCTCAGGAATATTTGAAAACTGATGTGAGCCTAATAATTTGAATTATATCAGACAGCCACACACAAGGTTTGTAAGGCTTGTCAAACTAGAAAGAGAAGACATAATCAAACCACCTGGTATATTCTATTATAAGAATATTTGTTTACATTTCAAGTATTGATTTTAGTACTTCCATACACAGGAAGACTACGTATTCCAAGGCACAAACTAAGAATACAGACTAGGGATAGGTTTTCTGCAAGGCTCGGCACCATTAGAGCGATAGTTTAATAGGTTTCTTGAAATAAACATAAGGAGTTCAAAGGTCCTGTGACTTCACTAGAGAGTAGCATTTGCTATGCTTCACAGTGAAAATGATCTGAAGATTAATTTTATCCACAGAAAAATTTATTCGCACACTATTCCTCATATTTCATGTGGAAAGATAAACAAAGTTCATAGTTATCTATTGCAGTCAGATTACAGGCAATGCACTCTTTCAAAATTAATTCATTCCTTCTAGTATCAATATGAAATCATACCTCATACAACATCCTCACCCAATTGAGGAGTCAGGAAAACACCTTGTCCCTTCCAGATAGCAAACACCTTCACACTCTAATCCTTCTCCACCAAGACGTTAGTTTCTCCAAAGAGTAAATTTGTTTATTCATCTTTTAAGTTACCGTTCCTTTAGTTTTATCTGCTACTTGTCTTCAGGGCAAGAAATTCTAGCATTCTGTTCCCTAACAAAAAGTCTGCATTTGTACCACCAGCAACGCATTTCAAGTTTGATCAATTCTGTTTCCATGTCCAGCTTTTAGCTTTTCTGAAGAAACAGTTGAGACAATCTGAAACAATTTAAACACAGTTTCCTAGCTATGTTACTTCCCCAGTAAGAAATAGCCCCGTTTGTCTTCATTAGCTAACAAATACTCATCACATAAAAATTCACTGATGCCTTAATACAGTACAAATCCTACACTAGCTCCGCACAATAAACACAAATGCACGTTGAGATACCCTAGCTGCTTACCACCCTAAAAAACAACCAAATAAACCTTAAGCATGTTTGGAAACAACACATTGGCATTGAGGAGACAAAACAGACCTACCAATAGTAAGATCATGGACTGGTTGAAATCGCTTGTCTGTAAACTGTAACAATAAACATGATTTCCCAACACCTAAAAAAAAAAAAAAAAGAGAGAGAGAGAAAAGATTTTAGTAAACTCAAAAAAAATCTGTTAAGAATCAATAAAAATTACTCAAAGTAAATGGTGCATATTGTTTAAAATTCATTACGAGGACTTGAAATACCAGATCTCTCTCCCTCTGAAGTGTATAAATCTTTTTCATCATGTAACAGCTTTTAAATTTCCAGAAATATTAAAGTTTAAACAGTTATTATTCAGAAAGAAAACAAAATGTTATTCTTTAAAAAAGTATTTCTGCCTTTAAAACTAACAAAGACCAATTTCCTAAAAGATTTTCAAGCTACCATTCCATATCCTCTCACAACAGTAGCTACAGGTCTTGCTACTCCACAAAGCTCTATGCCTGCTTCCCCCACTTCAGTACCTTTAGTTTTCTTCCAAGCTAGCTAGATTCTCAACCTCACTCCCACCTATCTTGTAATTTAGCAACAGAGCGAACAACAGTACACATGCAGCTGCTTAGAACTACAACGCATGCTACTGACTATTGGCTGCCAAACAGACAGGCCAAGCAGAATTGGCAACAGTTGAGTTCATACTACATCCAGACACATAACCCATTTGGGTCTGAAACCAGGATACCTGAAGGGAACAATTTTTGTATGAACTACTTGACATTACATCGATACTGCCTTGTAGACGGGCAGTTCCTTCTGTACACGGAAGCACAGAAAAGCGAAAGTTAACGTAGTTGACAAGGGTACTCAGACTACCTAGGTTTGTAAACATCTGCTTTTTCCAATTAACGTTCCCTTGTTCTTTTACTTGGGGGGATCATTCTGCCAGTCCTATGCTATCAAATTTCACATTTTCAGCCTTTCAAAACCTCTGCAGTCATACTTTTGATTTATACACATTTAAACTCTCTGAACTGTATCACAAAACATATGATGCTGTAACATCCAAGTTCCTTCTGTGCTCTGCTTTATCCACAGAGGAAGATGAGGTTATTTTAGCCACATTAGAAGCCAGGCAACAATCGATCCCAAATGATGTATCTGGTACTAAAAGACAGCAAGCAAAGGGATAAAGAAAAGAAAAACCATCCTGCAATTCATAAGATAAGTATGCCAGAGGTTTGCATTCAGTGGTGCTTATTTTTACTTTTCAAAGTTTTCAACTTTTCAAAGTTTTTTTTGACTGTTTGATGAGGAAACAAAGCATAAACAACTATAGTCGCTGTCCATCTGTCAGTCTGGTCTTGAAAACTAAGACCAGCAGCCAGTTTCAATCAAATCTAACAGAAATAGGAGACTTGCCCTTGATTTTGTCATGAAATGAGTTGTAATGAAACGATGACACTTTGAAATTAATGCCCCAACTGATGCAGCAATTCCAGCAGTCCAAGTCAATTGTTGCTGCTGCTCTCCTACTCTACCCTGCAGCATGTTCATGCTCCTCTTCTCTATACTGCTTCAGAACTCATCTGACTAAGCCATTTCAGTTGTCTGCTGGGTTAGCACACTAACTGAACAAGAAGAGCGACAAAGCATGCAGAAATGGCTTAACGCAGGGTCAGAAAAGCTTCAGAGCTGGTTCAAAAGAGGGAACAGAAATGCGGCAGCCAGCAGATCAGTAGCTTAGCCTGGCATAGTGCTACAGCCTGAGGCAAAGTTTGCAGCATCAGTCTTAACACTTCTCTTTTACTGTAGCGCTCTGGCTTATGATAGCAAACTATCAGTTCACAAGCAGGTTGGAAGCAGGTATAGATTATGCTGCATCCAGCCTCCCAGCAAAATTAGTGGACATGAGAGAAGCAGGTAATAGTATGGATAAGGGGTGTGGGGAAAAGCATTAGAAGTAAGAAACAGGAAGGACAGAAGGAATACTGGAGCTGCAGGGACAGAGAACACAACTTTCTAAGGAACCTTGAAATATTAATAATTCTTCTACTCACAGAAGTTTATATATAAAGACAACTGATACCACCACTGAAATAGAGCCCCCCATCACTGAATGTAATAACCACCTCATTTATAAGAAACAATCTAGAAATCAATCCAAAAATAGATTCCAGAATAGCTTTTGTCATTAACCTTACAAAACCATTTCAGTGTCATTTGATAAATATGAATCCCATAACTGTCATTAAATATTGCCTGCATATATTTTATATTGATAAGAAAAATATTTCACAACTCAATGAGCAAAGTGACCCTTGATTAGGTATCTAGCAGTAGCACTCATGCAGCAGTCTCATAACTTTTTTCTAAGTTTGGTGACCACCTTGTTGGTTCAGGTGAAAACACAAATACTAGTGTCAGCACAGAGCAGATGAGAGACAAGCACAGCCCTTTCAATGTGAGCACTGTCTTGAGTTGGATCAAGATAACTGAGAAACTGCACTCTCTGCTACTTATTGCAGGCCTTTTAGAAGCAGTCTACACATTTGAAAGGTTCACACAACAGAAAGAAGAAATCAGCCAGTTTTTGTTTAATGCCATTCCTGTTATTTTAGAACCTTACAGGAAAAAAAAAAAAAAGGAAGTTTCTTAAGTTTTGTACTGCTGTTGACTGAAAAAAAGTTCAACAAGCTGCATACAAAGATGCAGTGACTGTTAAGTTCAAGCTGTAATCTATTTTTAAATAGTAGTTACAAGTACTTTAGTATTTTTGCCTCCATTTTTAAGTGTTTTGTTTACATTTTATAGTTTTAACACATCACAAGTTTGTAACCAGAAAGCTCTTACTAAAATAGCTTGTAGCCCATGCATTTCTGGAGCTTGAGAGAAAACTGTGCTATCATAGACACACCCAGTAACCTGTGTCATAAACAGTAGCCATATATGAACTCCTGAGCAGTTTACCACTTTGTGACATATGCAGATGCTACAAAGATCAAAGTTGTGTGGCAGCCAATTACACTGCATTCAAATGGTACACAGTAACTATACTGAATAAACTCTAAGAATGAAGTGATTGCTTACCAGATACCTCAATTCACTTAGGACTGTGAATCTTATATCAGAAATGAGGCAGGATCCCTGGGGAAAGTAGTTGAGCATGTCTTATGATAGTCATCAGTTGTAGAAAACAAAAGGGACAGATTTAAAGTTGCACACAAAGACAACTTTAAATTAACTGATTCTATTTAATAACTGATTCTCCACTCTACTGCCACAATTACTTTACTATAATACAGCTTCATATATATCTCCCCTAGAGGGAAAAAAAATATTTAATATCTTAAGAACTGAGCAGAGCTTGGACAACTTAGCCAACAAACTGGGTAAACAAATGCTCTTGCTTAGGAATAAATTAAAGCAATGGATTATGTGCTCAGAAGGGAGCAGCATGCTTCTTTGCAAATGCCTGTTCCAGGACCACTTCTTAATACCCAAACAGTGATGGAAAGTGAACTAGAATTCATGCTACAGTAGTGTTTTATCCTCAGGTCCTGAATTCCAAACATCAGCCTGAGTTAGTTCCAAATTTCTGTTTTCAGTAACGGCTTTCTACTTATCTAGGTGCCACTCCACAATCAATTTCACTCAGAGAAAGCATGGCCAGGCTTTCCTACTGTCCCACCTTGGCCCAGCCACGCTTCAACTCCTCCCTTTCTTACATATCAGCACTAGTTTTTGATTCACTAGCAAGCCAGAACAGGTAGGTGGTAAGGCAAACTCTCCCTTCTCACCCAGAATGTTATGCAATGAGCCAAATCAAGAAACTGACCCAGCAGAAAACTAGAGTCACCCAAAATGCTAGTATGTGCACAAGACTAGGGCTACAAAATATATTGCAAAGGGAAGGACTGTTCTTTTCAGTGCCAGGCTGCACTAACATCAGCTCAGGAACCATAACACAGCTGATGATACAGCGCAGTCACTTTAATGGCTTTCATCAAAAAAGATCTGCTTCCTTCTCCCTGTCTAATTCCTGTGACCCAGCTGGCCCAGTGGCGTAAGGAAAGAAGAAAAATAAATTCATGAAACTAGTCTACTAAAAAATTAATTCCTTTTTTGCTTGATTAGTTGTCAGCTGCAAAGTCTGAGGTGCGCTAGAGGCAACAGAAGGGAAATTTCCAGGCTCTCCTTGCCACTGGATGAGATTTGTCTACTGACAGACTACAGTCACACAAAGTAGGGAACCACAACAACTTAAAACCAGTCTAATCAAATCTGCAGGCCTGTTCCTTCCATTGATGTTTGCATGACCTGATGTGCCAGCCAGTGGATCACTTCCTTACTTCCTTGCATAAGCAACACTGCAACCCAAGAAGGGTGACAGAGGAAAAGCATCACAGTAGTAGTCCCAGTTTAGGTTTACCCTCAGAATTCAGTTTCGATGTCCATTCAGATTAACTGCTAGCTGCCTCTGATGAGTCGACTCACTCCTTCCTGCAGAGTTCCACTGTCTTACTCAGAATGGCTCCTATACTTGTTTGTTTACACTGTAGCCCTCCCCCCCCCCGTTATTTTTATTTTTTAATTACCTTCATGAGCTGAACTAGCTCTCTTAGAGTTCAGACAGGCACTGATGCTAACAGCTCAGCAGCAGAAGTAGTTTGTAGCTAGGACAAGGAATGGCAATCAGGTCCACCCAATTTGGTAGCAGCTAACCATTAGACTAGTTTAGCCTTCTTCCAGCACAATTTTTTCCTTGCTGTTGCTTCACAAGACAGGGTGAACGAATTGCTCACCACCACAGAGCTGAAGACCTACTCCCCCTCTTTGCTAGCTCACTGCCACCTATCCTCTCAACCTATCCAGTAGAAAATTAACCTAAAAAGTAGGTAGTTTTCTACTGCATTAGTGAGTTGAATCAACTAATTGAAAAGTATGACAGTCACCACACGGTAAAGGGAGCAAGACCTTCTCCTCTCACTGGTAACCAGCTAGTATGTCAACTCAGGTGCTCATGAAACCAAATCCCTGGTACAAACCGAGCTGAAACAAGCTGCCTGCTGCTCCTACCTCCCTTTAGGGAACAAACAAGCAAAATGTTTAAATAAGCTGAAGACAATCTCTAAAACCAGACAAGTCTCAAACAACGTATATTTTAAGACCAGTTCAGATTTAAACCAGATACATAGTGTAAGTGTCAAAATATACAGACCTCTAATCTGACTGATGAGCTATTTCTAGTCCTTCGTGGTAGACTACACTACTTTACATAGCTTCCAGATGTTTCATGAACCCAACAGTTCACTCTTCTCTCATTACAGGCAGCAACTCATACCCTCTCTCCTTCACTTCCAACCACACCATCCTTACGCAACTCAGCAAATTGCTGTATTACTAACCACAGGCCTAGGCATAAGGAGACAGTAACCTAAAGCAGAGATTTTTCTCAACCTTTTATCAGTCTGCTGTCAGTCATAACTCTGTCGTTAAATGAAAAAATTTTGATAAAATTAATAGGAGGGCAAGACTATAAAGTTTCTGTCAGCTTCCTCTACAAGTAAAGGGACCTTCACATATCCATTTAAGAAGGGATATGAGGAGAAGAAAAGTAACCTTTAAAATTCTTCCTAATGACTACATAAGTTTGGGAGAAGCAATGCTGTGAAAATGGCTTTTTAACTCTTGGCAAAGATGATTCGGCTTCAATGCTTAGGTTAGATAAACAAATGTAGGCTGTTGTAAATAATTTACAGTAAATCACTGACACCAGTGCTCTAAGTTTTCCTTTTTACATAAAAATTAGTGCACATCTACAAGCTGAAAGGAACTCTTCAGGTTTACCACATTCCATTTAATATGGCATTACCCAATTGGTAACTTTACAGGTCTTAAAATTAAACCACATGAACCTAAATAAAGCCTGTTCATGTCCTGGACGATCACAAAAAGCTTAGAAAACTGCCAGTCATTCACAACAAAAACTGCCTTTCAAAAAAAGTTATAATAATTATGGCGGGCACACAAGAATAGTCTCATGAGACCAGCTGTATGACTATCTACCTACAGTTCAGTATTTCTAGTTAACTTCTAAGACGACAAGAAAATATATGTTTATAATATAAACACCTGATATCTGCCCTTTTAGAGATAAAGTATTATCAAAAGGGTCTTATGCCAAGAAGTAAGTAGTAAAGATCTAGTACCCTGGTTTCGCTATGAACGAATTCTCAACCTATCGTGAGGTATTAGTACCAGCTCTGTTAGGATGAAAACCTGTTTAGTTAAGGAGTATTGTTACACACTTGTAGAAAATAAGGGCAAGAGGTTCTTGCCATGCATGTTGCCAGCTTATAAGAGCTGCTCCAGACCAAAGTGTAAGCGAACACTAGATAAGTGTTTGCAAGGAGGGGAGAAAACAGACAGACAGACAGGCAGACAGACAGAGAGAAAAGATGACTAATTCAACGGCTTAATTTCAACATTTGAGAACTTCCTAGATAAGGGATACAGTACACTAAACAGCTTACTTTCCTCTAGAAAAAAAGGAAAGTTAGATCATCAAGCAATTATACTTTGTCTCACCATCTTCCCCGAACATAAACAACTTTGAGATATCCTTAGTTTATAAGCAGCAACTATCTGCTGAAACTGGAAGGAAAGTGCATTGCACAAGAAGCTCCAAAGGTTGCTGAACACATACAAGAAAAGCAGAAGGCACATATGCCCATGGAAGATGCAGCAACACTTGTCATACAGACAAGTTATGTTGGCGGAAAGAAATCTGACCATTGCAAAACTGGTATTTCAGCCATATTGAACTGTGACGTTCTTTGATGGGAAACTGGTAAACATACTCTGATAGATAAGAAAATCCTATTTAATGCATATTACAGACTTTAGAAAAAAATCCAGCCCTAGTATTTACAGCAGCCCTGTGCATCTGTAGAGTCTCACATGGTATTTTACGTTGCTGTTGACAGAAAGATCTTTAAACAGTATGGAAGATTTCACTATCACATCGGAAAAACGAGCAAATTTTGTCTGATCTTAACAGCAGTCACCACAGCTCAGACCAAAAGTCCACCTAGATTTCAGATAGCGACCGAAAGCAGATGTGAAAGGAAGAGCAGATGAACGCACCAACTCCTACCTGCAAGCAACCTGAAATAGACACTATCAACTGTCCCACTGCTACAATTTAAAAAACATGCAGATTTACAAAAATACTGTTTCTTCCTAGCCCCCAAAAACTGATCAAGGATCTGAAAGACAGCCATTTTAATTCACAGCTCTCCCACAAGAGAAAACTAACCAGATCTTAAAACAGTCCTGACTACAGAGACCATACATCATTATTTGTATGACGTATGAATATACACGAAATGCATTATAAATAACAACCATAGCAGAATCCATCCCATGTTCATAGAGCTGCAGTGCCTGAAGTACCAGCAAAAGAAAATGTCACTGAATGTCAACGGCCAATGAAGCAAGCAATAAAAAGGGACAAGATCTGCTGAGCAAAAGGCAGTCTTACACAGTCAGTTTCTGTAGCTATCACTTTAAGAGACTGAGATCATACTGAATTCCTGCGTTGAAGTGCATGAAAGCATTTGGAATCACAATTCAGAATACACACGCAGGTGTCTTGTATAACTGTACACTTTTTTTGTTGTTTTGTTTATTGCTTGCATAACCCACTTTGTTTTGTAGTGCTGAAAAAGGAAGATGAGCTAAATATCAACATCTGTCCTGGGTTGATGCTGTCTTACTTTTCATCTAGAGTTTGTTTACAACTAATTGCTGAGTCACCAAGCAGTTGATCCACTTCCAAAGACTCTAAATCAAGTCCCAAAGACAAATTTCTTGATCACTATGGAAATTACAGGGCATGCAAGGCCACCGGCATATCTTCACTGCTTGCAGTGCTGTGGTAGACCACCACTGGGACAGAACAGGCGAGTCCCCATACAGTCCATTAATTTCCATCAGTACAGCTACGAATGCATCTGCCTTCGGCAGAGGAACAGCAACACCTAAACCATCACAGTCATTCTGGCAGCAAACTGTACACAACATAAATTGTCTCTTTGATACTAGCTATATTAGAATACTTAAAAGGCTCATAGGAGATCTAAATAAAAGCAAAACCAACTTTCCACTATTGGCGAATCTATTGCACTTTACCAGCGATGGTGGCACTAGTTTTAATTAGCTTCCTATAACAACTTTGAATAAAAGCTACAGAAGTTTTTCACTTTTGGTAAATTTGTGAGCTGTTTTCTGCTCAGTGTGTTTCTTCTAGATCTTACAATTCCCATATTTGGTTAAGAAGCAGAAACAACTTCAGAAGTGACATACATCCAATTCTGTATTTCACATTTCAAGTAACTGAAGTAATCTTCAATTAAGGTGCAGAAGGGTCAGCAGAAACCACTGCCCAGAGGATATTTCATTTAAAAAATTAATCTGCATATCATCAATGTACCAAAGCAACTGTTTGCTGCCCTCTCTACCACTCTGATGATTACAGTTTTTAAAATGCACCAGAATACAAGGCCAACTGTTCTGAAGCGCTATGACCCTGAATTTTGTACTACCATTTTGCATCATTCTGGGCAGAAAAACCTCCTTTTACTTCCCTTGACTCTACTGACATAATCTCCTGTCCTCTACCGTGGCTTATGAACTGTCAGTCACGTAAACACTCAAGAACAATCTGTAGTCTTCTTTATCATCTATGGCCTATTAAATACTTCAAGCTGGTCATTATAACCATGATATATTTCTTACTATTTATTTGTACTACAGTTTTTAAAAAAAGGCTGAAGAGCTTAAATGTTAAAAAATTTTAAAAAAACAACAAAAAATACACAGTAGTTGCAATCCAGGCTATTTAACAACCACATGCGTAATGCAACTATAGTGTATAATTACAGTACCACAAACTCCAGCAACAGATAAACTGGTTCATCATAATGAAGTGTAACTACGCAGGTATCCCTAGAATAGCATGTAGAGACAACCGTGTCACCAAATTTATTACAGAGGGTATTTATTCGGGTATGAAGAAGACAATGAGAAAGATGCACAATGCACAAGCACAATAGCTACCTATGTTATTTACCTTGTCCTGCCAAAAGTGTGATAGAAAGAATGCCATCTATATCCATACTAGGCTAAGGAAGCATAGAATATGTTGGCAAAAGTGCATCAAACAGCAATTCCTATCAGCATAGGGTTATGCCTGCAGCATTCTTAAGCAATGTTATTTGCAACATGGCAGTCAATGACAAATAGAAGAGAGCAAGTTTTTAAAAATGGACAAGAAAATAGGTGAGCGGGAGGAAGAGACCGCAGATGCAACTTGCAGCATCTGGGAAAGCAGTTAGTCAAAAAATGGCTGCTGTGAAGTAGAAGGAAAGAACTAGGCCTTTAAATTTCCCTTTGACAGCATATCCTGACACTTAAACAGCTTGCTATTGCACCTCCAGCCCGGGCTGGAAACGGCACCCTTGCAGCCCAGTCTGAAGGTACCTTCAACGGCACTGGTCTTTGCCTCACCACAAAATTCCTAGGAAGCCAGCAGCACCTCTTAGGCCTCAGGGCTGCAGAGAGGTAAATATGGGGCCGCTGCCTAGCCGCGAGTTTTACAATGACAGCAGCCCCCATCCCACCCCAATCTCCGCCCCTGCCTTTCACGCTCAGACGCCGCAGCCCGGTGTATGACACACCCCGGCCTGCCCCACGGCC